ACTCTCTGCTCTAAATAGACCCATTTTTTTTTTTATATAAACAGTTTATTTTACCTTAATTGTATGAGCAGCACCACTCTGTTCAGCCTACAGAAACAAAGAACATACCTGGTACTTCCAGATATAGAGAAGCATGTGATTCACTCCCCTTCTTCTGATGTGACAGCACTGGTGCTTGGTGATTGGCCCAATATATTCATATAGGACTGGAAGGGAGCCGAGAGCCTTTTGCCTCCTGTAAGTCCTGACAAGGGTGACTTACATAGTACATAGGGCTTTCTTTCTTTGTTCCCAGCAACTAAACAGTGTAGCAGGAGTTTGAAAGCAAACATATATAGGTTGCTGGGGAAGGCACGTTAAAGTGAGCATGTTGCTTTGTACCACACAGGAAAAAATCACAGGCTTAGTAAGATTAAAAAAAAAGTTTAGCTCTTTTATGAGTTTTTTGAAGCTTAAACATCCAGACTGATTTTTAGCAATGTTGGTTAGTAAACTTTGCAATATATTTGTAACCAATTTTTCTGATTGGTTTCAGAAAAATGAACACGCACACAGTTACAAAATCCTAGTTTTCTGCTTCAAGGTTAATGTTCTCACAACAACGAATATTTGACATTTGGAGTTATAAAGTCATACTGTGGTCTTGAAGGGGTTAATTACCACTTCATATGGCTGCAATACAAAACCCACTACATTCATCTATGTCATACATCCATGAGATCTGAAAAAATGCCAGTTGCATATCTACTGTAGTTCTCTGTTGAATATTTGACTGAGTTCATATTAGAACTCATTGGTTCTATTAGTAGATAGCATAGGAAGTTTTTGAGTAGCAATTTTCAGGTTTCTGAGGAATATAATCTCTTTTTGAATCTCCACAACAGCAAATAAGAAGTTAATTGCTGTAACATATTTGTCATAAATATCTTTTTGTTTTGTTCAGCCTATTTTATCTTAAATTTTAGGCTCGGTTCACAGGGCCGCAACCTGAAAGTCACACGACTACGATGCGACTTTGCCAGACGTCTTCCTGGCAATTTGCTGGCGACTTTCAGATATGAGTCGCCCTGAAGTAGTACAGGAACATTTTCTGAAGTTGGAGCGACTTCAGTAGTGCTAATTAAGACAGCTCTCCTTGACCAACATGGGATTTCACATATCATGAGACTTGGGGTCTCACAAGTCAGATCCCAAGTAACAGCAGTGTGAACCGAACCTAGTAGCTTTTCCATTTGTTTAATTCTGTAAAGGAACATATACCGATATTCAGTCTGTGCCATTGCCTTGATAAGTTAGTGCTTTGGATTACTTCTCATATTGTAAGTATAAATGTATAGGCTTACTTCTGTATTAAGATTAAGCAGCTGTTTAATAACATGAACTTGTCCACTGGATGCAGCAGAATGGAGTGGAGTGTATCCTTTCTTATCCTTACACATAACTTCAGCGCCAAAATTTATTAGTGATGTAACAACTTCAAGATGACCTGCACACAAACAGAAAAAAGTTAAACATATGAACTTCTTTAAGAGGTATGTTCACATTTTAAATTCCAACTCTGGGAAACATAAAAATTGTTAGTTGCAGTGGAGCTGCACCCCCCACTGCCAGAGTTAATTGCTCGTGTAGGTCTAGAGTAGATAAAGAAGATCTGTTTCGCTGATTCTCCACTTCTCCATGTTGCTAGCCCAGTCATCACAGCATCTTCTCCTCCATGTCTAAGGTCCTGATGTCATCAAGAACAATGCAGAGTCTATAGCCCTGATGACGCTGAGGGACAGTGCACCACCAGAGTGTGGGGGAGTGCCATCTGCCAAGGGAGGGGAAGATCAGGTAAGTTAAAATTCTTTTTTCTCTCCCATAGACAAGCAGTTAACCCTTGCTGAGTAGGCACAAGTCCACTACAAGGGATCATTTTGTACGTTTCCCAGAGTTTGGACATTAAGTTCTAGGTTGCCATGACTTACATGACACATTTCATTGCATTCCTTACATCTCTACATTTTATAATTATTGATTTGATAATAGAATGGATAACATACCTAAACTTTAGAGCAATAATTCATGTTTTTTTACATCAGAAATAATTAAATTCAGTACATTAGATGAGATTTTATTCTTGCCTACCTACTTACCTAACACAACCAATGGTTTTAAGGCTACTCTCTCACTGAAATGGCCTGTAGCAGCTTCACAGCAGGCTTTTCATGGCATTAAATTCAAGTGTTTTCTGTATTAGTCAAATGGATGTTACAAAATTTAAAACCCCATCTACTCAAAGCCTTTTTTAATTTTTGTGCCAAGCGGGGATATGATGAAAACTCCATACGTTTTTTTACTGTTAGTGGGAATATTTTCTATCACTTACTTTCTGTCAGGGCAGGAGCGATGGAAAGGGCAGACACCCTATGGTAAGGTCACGCAGCGACTGACAACAGCCACTACCCACAGACCAGAGTCCCTCAGGGCGCGGAGTCTAAGCCCCAGGCTGCCCTTCACCATGGCCCCTGATGGTGGGGATGGACTTGACGCAGCCTGAGACCAGGTTGCGGCCCCCGAGTAACCCCAGCTGTGGTATCGACTGCCGACAATGGCGTACAGCTGGTGGGAGCTAGATGGGAAAACGTGTAGCGTGGTCAGACAGGCCGGGTCTATAACAACGGTGCAGACAGTACAAGACGGTAGGCAAATAATACTCAGGTCACGGGCCGGGTTCAGCAACGGAAGGGCAGGTAAAGGGTTAAAGCAGAGAATAGTCTTGTCCAAGCCGAGTCGGTTACCAGGAGAGCAATGAGAACAGAACAAGAGCTTGCTGCAAGGGAACATACAGGACACGAATGCAAAGAGCAAGTGCAGACAACAGGCTTAAATGTGATCAAACACACCGCTCTGGGGGGAGGGACCACAGAGGCCAGAAAGCATAAAAGGCTCCCACCATGTTTTGCAGAAACCTAAGATGGATGCCAGCACATGGAGCAGCACAACCTCTGAGGAAAGGTAGGACCTGACAGTACCTCCTCCTCAAGGGCCCCTCCCCCTCCACGGCTCAACAAAAGGCTTCTGAGGAAAGCGGGCATGAAAAGTGCAGAGGAGGGCAGGAGCATGAACATCCGCGGAAGGAACCCAGGAACGCTCCTCGGGACCATAACCGCGCCAATGGACCAGGAACTGCACCCAACCGCGCACCAATCAAGAGTCCTGGATGCGGCTCACCTCATACTCCTCATGACCGTCATCCGGATGGGACGGGGGCCTGGGCAGAGAGGTAGTGAAGCGATTACAGACCAGAGGCTTCAACAGGGATACATGGAAGACATTAGAGATACGCATCCCAGGAGGAAGGGCAAGGGCATAGGCAACCGGATTCAGTTTGCGGAGGATGCGAAAAGGACCAACAAAACGAGGAGCCAGTTTGGGTGCAAGCACCCGAAGATTGAGATTGCGAGTAGACAACCACACCCGATCTCCGACCTGGTATGAAGGAGTGGGCAGCCGTCTGCGATCGGCCTGGAACTTCAGGCGCTGTGCTGAGTCCTTCAAGGACTTCTGGATCTGCCCCCATGAAGAACGCAGGGCAGCAAGATGGTTATCCACAGCCGGAATGTCCTGTGGTGAGAACCTCTTAGGCAATACCGCAGGTTGGAACGCATAGTTGGCCATGAAGGGAGACATCCCGGAGGAGGAGTTGACAGCCGAGTTCCTGGCAAACTCCGCCCATGGCAGGAGATCGGCCCAATCGTCCTGATGGTCTGAGATATAGCAGCGAAGGAATTGTTCCAGGGCCTGGTTGGAACACTCCGCAGCCCCATTGGACTGTGGGTGGTAGGCCGAAGAGAAGGAGAGCTTGATACCCAACTGAGAGCAGAAGGCGCACCAGAACCTGGACACGAACTGACTCCCACGGTCCGAGACAATCACCCTGGGCAACCCATGCAGGCGAAAAATCTCCCTGGCAAAAACCGTGGCCAGTTCTTGCCCAGTTGGTAATTTCTTGAGCGGAATACAATGGCACATTTTGGAAAAACGATCAATGACCATGAGAATAACCGTATAGCCCCGAGACACAGGGAGGTCTACAATAAAATCCATGCCCAGGTGTGACCAGGGACGCTCCCCATTGGGAATGGGTTACAGAAGGCCCAATGGAAGATGCCGAGGAGATTTTTATTCTGTGCACAGACCGAACATGCCGCTACATAAGAGGCGATGTCGGAACGGAGAGATGGCCGCCAGAATAAATGAGAGACGACCCAGGACAACTGGTTCCACCTGGATGACCGGCGGTCTTGGAGTTATGGTAGGTACGCAGCAGGCGGGTGCGCAATCCCTCAGGTACGAAACATCTACCATCCGGTCTCTCGGGAGGAGCATCAGTTTGAGCCGCCAAAATCTGCTCCCCAAGGGGAGAAGTCAGGCTGGTGCGAATGGCAGCCAGGATCTGATCCGCAGGTATGACCGAGGTCGGCTCAGAGTCCTCCCTGGACAACTCAGAGTATTTCCGCAACAATGCATCAGCCCTGACATTCTTGGAGCCAGGCAAATAGGAAACCACATAGTTGAAACGCGACAAGAACAAGGCCCATCTGGCCTGACGGGGCATCAATCTCTTGGCCCCTGAGAGATACGTCAGGTTCTTGTGATCGGTAAGAATGAAGACCGGAACCGCGGAACCCTCAAGCAGGTGCCTCCATTCCTTGAGAACCTGAATGATGGCCAACAATTCCCTGTCTCCAATCTGGTAGTTGCATTCTGCAGAGGAAAGCTTCCTGGAGTAGAACCCACAGGGAAGTAGGGGTCCATCGGGCGACCGACGCTGGGACAGGAGAGCGCCTACTCCCATCTCAGATGCATCAACCTTGAGGACAAAGGGCAACCCAGGATTGGGATGAGACAGTATCGGAGCTGAAGCAAAAGCGGATTTCAGAGCCTCGAAAGCTACGATGGCCTCGGATGGCCATTCATGAGGATTACTGCCTTTCTTGGTTAGATCTGAAAGAGGCTTGGCCAGCGTGGAGAAGTTCCTGATAAACTTCCGATAATAGTTGGCGAAACCCAAAAAGCGCTGAATGGGCCGAAGACCATTGGGACGAGGCCACTGCAGAACCGCCGAAACCTTCTGAGGGTCCATGGAAAATCCCACCGCGGAAATGATGTAGCCCAAAAAGGCAACCTGGGATCGGTGGAATTCACACTTCTCGAGCTTACAAAAAAGTTAGTTCTCACGTAACCATTGCTGCGCCTGCTTGACATCCTGGATATGAGATTCCATGGAGACAGAGTAAACCAGGATGTCATCCAATAAACCACCACGCACTGCTGCAACAAGTCACGAAAGACATCATTTATGAACTCCTGAAAGACCGCAGGCGCGTTACACAACCCGAAGGGCATCACCAGGGATTCATAGTGACCGGTTCTGGTGTTAAACGCGGTCTTCCATTCGCCCCCCCTCCTTGCTCTGTACGAGGTTGTACGCCGCCCTAAGGTCGAGTTTAGTAAAGACCGTTGCTCCCTTGAGGCGGTCGAACAACTCGGTAATCAATGGGATTGGGTAGGCATTTTTAATGGTGATTCGATTGAGGCCCCTAAAATCGATGCAAGGCCTCAATTCACCGCCCTTCTTCTTTACGAAGAAAAAGCCCGCTCCTGCTGGGGAAGTAGACTTGCAAATGTGCCCCCGGGAAAGCGCATCCTCAACATACTCCTCCATGGCCTGATTCTCTGCAACCGAAAGAGGATACACCCTGCCACGTGGAGGAGTGGCACCGGGTTGCAAGGGTATGGTGCAGTCATAAGGACGATGGGGAGGTAAGGCACCGGCGCGCACCTTATCAAACACGTCCAGGTACTCCCCATAGTCAGTGGGCAACATAGAGTCCGAGGAGGCACACAATACCCTAACTGGCCCACGGATGCACCCGGCCCCACACTGTGGAGACCACGAGAGGATCTCGGCCATTCACCAATTAAAGGTCGGATTGTGCTTCTGGAGCCAGGGATACCCCAAAACCACGGAATAGTGCGGGGAAGAAATTACCTGGAAACAGGCCAACTCCCTGTGAACAGCCCCAATAGCTACTTCAACCGGCAGGTTCTCGTGGGTAACCTGCGGCGGTTGCAGGGGCCTGCCATCTATCGCCTCGAGAACCAATGTGGTAACTCGAGCCTGCAGGGGAATGGAGTACTGGGCAGCAAACGAGCTGTCCATAAACAACCCGCCGGCCCCAGAGTCTACCAATGCCTGGGCCGTCACCGAGCCCACCGTCCCTAGAGAGGACAACAGTGATCAGTGGTTTATTTTTGCGGGATGCCGGGGATGAGGAAACTCCACCCAAGATCTGTCCCCGACAGGATCTCAGGTGCGAGCGTTTCCCGGACGGACTGGACAGGACTGCTGAAAATGCCCACCGAGGCCACAGTACAGGCAGCGACCCTCCCGGCGCCGAGCGGCCCGCTCCCCCTCGGAAAGGCGAGCAAACCCCAGCTGCATGGGCTCACCGCCAGACAAGCCATCCCCAGGAGGCGTGGGAGGAGAGGGAGGAACGGGTGGGACAGAAAATGCAGGCGCCAGTCGGTTGGGAGGCCTCCGCAGGTGCTCCTTGAGTGAAGGCCTCTCCCTGAGCCTGGTGTCATTTAGGATCAGGAAGGAAATGAGTGCTTCCAGCTCCACAGGCAGTTCCTTGGCTGCAATCTCGTCCTTCAATGCATCTGAGAGGCCATGAGAAAAAGCAGCCACCAGAGCCTCATTGTTCCAGCCCACCTCTGCTGCCAGGGTACGAATCTCTATGGCGTTCTCGGCAACGGTCCGTGAACCCTGCTGCATGGACATGAGTAGCTTGGCAGCCGAGGCAGAGCGAGCCGGCACGTCGAATACCCTACGGAAGGCGTTGTCAAAACCGGCAAACTCGTGAATCACCGGTTTATTGTTCTCCATAAGGGATTAGCTCAGGCCAAGGCCTTATCTGAGAGCAGAGATTAGGAAGCCCACCTTTGACCTCTCAGTAGGAAAAGTGTGTGGTATTAACTCAAAATAAATGCCCTTGCTGCATAGACCAGCACCAGACCTCACTAAATGCAAAAGAAAGTTTGTGGAGTTTGTGTGGAGTTTCAGACCTCTGAGGTCTGAAGAAGGAGCCTATTGAGCATGCTCCGAAATGCATTACCGCCCTTCACCTGCTACTTCTGACTCTGCTCTCCAAGCTTCATTTTTGATGCACAGGCACATCCTGGACTATACTATCTGATCCTATAGGCATAACTTGCTGCTGGACGGCTGGATGTCCCACCTGGATCCAATTACCACACGATGAGTCTTTTTAACCGTTTATCTTGTAAGTGCAAATTTTCCATTGTCTACTAATAAATTGTTAATACTGCACTTAGAGGCGCCTTCCTCTCTTTTTCTTGTTAAAGCATGGAAACAACCTACTATTAAAGTGGTTCTAAAGGTATAAGGTTTTCTGCATTAAAGGATAAGTTAACCTTTCGTAACATGTTACATGTTACACCCATATTCAAGGTGTACTGTAACATGTAACATGTTACGATCAGACCAACCCCCGCTCCCTGCTGTGACAGCGAGCGGGGGATCTTCTCCCCCCTTGCTAGCTGTCAAATTAAAAAAAATACGTGGCCGTGCGGGGCTCAGCCCGGCCAAATCACTCATTCACAGTATTGTGTGAATGAATTACCATGGCACTCTACAGCAGTAGTTCCTTGAGCCTTCCTGTCAGTAGTATCTGCTTGCTCATACAGGATGTACGAGCAAGTAGATATACTGACAGGTCGGGGGAGACCTGCAGTTTGGAGACCACTGATCTAAAGCATTGCACTGGTCTCCAAACTGCAGCCCGGGGCCAGATGTGGCCCTTTTCTTATCCATATCTGGTTCTTGGGGCACTCTTCTTCCCCCTGACAAAAGGCACTATTATCCCCACTGACACCAATGATGGAACACTATTCCTCCCACTGACACCAACACTGGGCACTGCTTCTCCCCCTAATACCATAGATGGGGCATTGTTTACTTCCACTTACACCAAGACATTATCTACTCCCACTGGCCACAGTACGCCCCCCCCTAAAGTCTGAAGGAGAGAGAAAACCAGCCTTTTGGTTAGAAAGTTTGGAGACTCCTGCTTCAGAAGCTCCACAAGCGAAAAATAATAAATGCACATTTTTTTACCTGCAAAAAAATGTGCATTTATTATTTTTTGTTAAAAGGCAAACTTATCCTTTAAGGTAAAAAAATCTTCCATGATCAACTAGACCCAGCTACCTTCCCCAAAATACTTACTTGGCTCCTCTTTTGATCCAGCACAGTGTCCATCTGCTGTAGCGAATCCCTCTCTACCCTCTCTTCACACAGGACTTAGAGGCGGCAGCAACAGGGGCCATTGACTCCTGATGCTGTCAATCAAATCCTGTGAGGCATGGCTGAGCCTCACTGTGTGTGTCTATTGATGAGGCTCAGTGAGGCTCATAAGAGCGTCTGCACAGGTGCCCCCACAGAACACAACTTACTATGGGGGAACTCAGAGAAAAGGAGGGGCTGACAGTGCCAGTGGGGGATCCCAGAAGAGGAGGTAAGGAGCTACTCTTTGCGATACCATTGCACAGAACAGGTAAGTATAACGTGTTTATTATTTTAGGAAATATAAATGTCTTTACAACCACTTTAACTTTGCATAGGTGAAAGAGAGGATCATGGGCATTAAGGTGCATGAGAACCCTACTGCAATACTCAGTAACACTCATGCTAACTTTCTAAAGATATGGACTCCATGGGTAGACCATAATAGCCACATAAAACTTGACTACTCCCTCCTCTCACTTTACCCCATCCACACAAAGAACAAAAGAACCAAATGCCCAGCCAGGTCCCATGGATTTCCCCCAGCCTATACCTTTTCCTCTTCCTGCCCTTACCTTTCATTCCTCTATGAAATCTGCTCCGTTCTTCTGTATTGCTTCCTTTTTTTTTTTACCCTTTCCTTCTTTACTGATCCATTAGGATTCTCTTCTTTTTCTACTACGTCACAGTAGTGTAGGCTAAATAAACACACCTTCCCCCCTCTCAGTGAATAGTCATTATGTAGTGGAGAAATTCCCATTTTAGGCTACCCCAATAAGTAATGGCACACTACCGCTTATCTTAGTGATTTCTGGATTGTCCCTAGCTCATTATTTGGTATATTCTGCACCTTTCTTGAATATTTACAGATGAATATGTATAATTTATACTTCCAATTCTGTTCTTTTTTTGGCACTGTTCAACAAAAGGAAAAAACATAAAACTTGTGAAATAAAATATCAGTGCAACAGCACACAACAAAAGATATTCTTACCCTTATATGCTGCCCAGTGGAGAGCTCTTCTATCCCGTTTATCAAAGGCATTTATATTTGCTCCTTTTGCAATGAGCAGATTGACCATCTGTAAAATGAAAGGTATAAAGGATAACAATATACTCTAAACCATAACAGCTCTTCCTACCCAGAATATCTATAACTCCCTTCACAGACCTCAGCTCAGCAGGTGACAAGGACTCGGAGCTACGGCCTTATTTGGACCAGGTGGTAAACATGTCTTGCTGACATCACCACCCCAACCCTCCACCTCATCTAATCAGAGACTGCCTTGCATTCATTCAGAAAATGCAAAGCTAGAGCAGTGCACAATGCAAACCCTTCATCAAGAATTCATTGAGACAGACGATAGAAGTTGGAGAGACTAAAGTCAGAGAGGTCAGGTTCTGAGTAACAAATTTAAACTAGCTTCAGAGAGACACACAGGGAAGTGCTTTCCAGATAAAAAAAAGTAATAGTAGGAATATTGTGATGCATGCTTTTAGTCAGAACTTTAGGGTCCTTTCACACGGGCGTTCTGTTTTTTTCATCAGCTCAGTCACATTTTTTCAAAGATAAAGTGGATCAGTTTACATCAGTTCACATCAGTTTTTTCATCAGCTTCTCGTCAGTTTTTTTACATCCTTTACCAATGTAAAACAGATGTAAAAATGGACTATATGTCTGTTTACATCCATTTTTATTCTGTTCTGGGGGTTTTTTTTACAGAAGAAAAATAGGGTTTTCTTCCATTCAAAAAAAAGGATGTTAACAGATGCGGACATTAAACAGATGTAAACAGATGATCATCCGTTTAAATCCCCTAGTCCATAGAAATATATGGACAATGGACAGATGAAAAACGGATATATGGAACGCCTGTGTGAAAGGACCCTTACTGATTAAATTTAACATTTAACAATCCAACTGGCTGGCTGCCATTTCATTATCAACAAATGTTATTATCAGAAATTTGTGAAAAGATGTTTCCAATTGTCGAGGTCCAACACAAATGTAAAAATATAAGAAAACATTGGCACTCAATGCAGTTGTGTTACATCCTTAGGCAAAGATACCAGAATGTCACAAAAAAAGAAATGTACAATAATGATGCCATGACCTCAAGCTACATCCACACAAACCTATTTTTTTTTTTTTAAGATTACCTGTTGAAGCAAACAGGTGCTTTGGAAATGGGCACACTGTCATGCATCCCTAAAATAATAAAGTGCTGTATTTTTTAAAGAGTACACATTTCTACTCATCAGATTAATTTTTACTTTTTCTAAATCAAGTTTTTCCTGCTTATATATAGAATTTCTGAAGAATTAAGGACAGGAAAGCAACCTCACAGAGTTGAAGAAATTTCATAGCTGTGTTTTTAATGTCCTCTGTGATCTCCTGAATCTCTCCTTTTTCTCCTCGTTTGTTTGGAACAAGTAGCAGCAGCAAGGTAGGGGGGCTACATTCCTAATTTAAAAATTTAGAGATTTGGAGGAGGCTGAGAGCAATAGAAGGTACTTTTCGAGTTAACAAAATATACTTGATTAGAATTTTTCATCAGTGTTTAGTGTCAGTTTAGGCACCCATGGGAAAGTGGAAACCATCAGATCTACACAACACATCAAGTTTCCCAACTTTACATCTGAGGATCCAGCAATATGATGAGGTGAATGCAATATTTGTACATACCCTGTTAAGGCTATGTATTAAAATTTAGCTAGCTCT